GTAGTAGTTGGAAAAAGGGGCTTCTGCGCCACGGATTTTGCAGATTCATGGGGATTCCATCAGTTCAACTATAGTAGAGGGATTTTATTTTCGGGAGGGAGGTCTCGTGGAAGTGATGTCACAGTCAGCAAATAAGACGCACTGAGATAGATCAGTTGCAGTAGAGATTAAATGGCCTGTTACAGGGGTATTATGGTATGATATGCTAAGAATTGGATAAAAAAAATCATAATAATTTATCTGTTTTCGTTTAAATTATCTGTAATAATTTATATGCACAATAATTTATCTGTAATAATATTGCATAATTAATATATGCATAATTGTAATATTGCATAATTAATATATGCATAATTAATATATGCATAGTTGTAATATTGCATAATTAATATATGCATAATTAATATATGCATATGTAATTAATATATGCATAATAATTTATCTGTAAGACACACTGGCCATCACATAGATCAGTTGTAAAAGAGATAAAATGGGCTGGTACATGGGTTGGTATATTATGGTATGATATGGTGAGATTTGGATATAATATATATATATTATAAAGGAAAGAATGTTGGGCAGAATAACAATATAACAAAAATATTGTACAATTAAAAAAAGCATCCTCAAAAAATCATAATAATTTATCCTGTTTTCGTACTCTCAATTCCTATTTCTTTCTGTACCTTGTACATATTCTCTCATCATTTTTATTTTCTCACTTTTTTGTATGGATCTTCCACATTACCCTGTACATTATCCGTTTCTTATGTGTATAATCAATTCATCGGTTTTTTTTATTTGAATATTTTTTTTTAAATTTCATATAACGTCATTAACCCTATGGATGCTTATACACACAGTGATATGATAAAGGGGCTTCTGCGCCACGAATTTGTAGTAGTAGGAAAAAGGGGCTTCTGCGCCACGGATTTTGCGGATTCATGCGGATTCCATCAGTTCAACTATAGCACACGGATTTTTTTTTCGGGAGGGAAGTCTTGTGGAAGTGATGTCACAGTCAGCAAATAAGACGCACTGAGATAGATCAGTTGCAGTAGAGATTAAATGGCCTGTTACAGGGGTATTATGGTATGATATGCTAAGACTTGGATAAAAAAATCATAATTTATCCGTTTTCGTACTCTCAATCCCTATTTATTTCTTTGGCAATTAAGAAAAAGAAAAGAAAAGCTCATATGGTGTTTTTTAAAAGACTCTTTCCTATAATAAACTTGACGCATTATGAAATTTATTTTTAATCGAAAAAGTCGCAAAATGCGAGTATCCTCGGGCATCTGCACTTTCACCTGGCTGCAGCTAAGTTGATGACGACGGAGCATAGTTTCCGTCTGAAAGAACTGCAGGCAACGACGGCAGATAACATGGCTAGTCTTGTGTTTGCTATACTGTCTGGAGAGGATCCGAGTCAAGTTCTTGATTCAGGCGTAGTGTGAGGCATTGGTGAGGTACATTAGGTCAATATAACGAGATTTCTTTACCTTCGTGATGACATGAGGATAGACTTCATTATTCTCAACTCTATATTTTACTTTTCTAAAACAATATCTTTACACACAAGGGATAAAAATATTGAGAAGATATTTAAAAAAAAAATACTTTTCTTAAAAAAAACTAACAAAATATTTTTAAATAAAATTTTTTAACAAAAATTACTTTTAAATTTCACTTAAAACTAATTTTTTATGAATGTATTACTTTACACAAAAAAAAAACTTGGAAGATAGCAACAAAGACAAAAAGTTTAAATCAGTAGAGGAACATTTATTTTTGAAGTTTCAACCAAGCATTTCTGAGAGCATACATTACAGGTTTCTTGATTCTATTTACATTGAACAATTTTTTATTTACATCTAAATATGTTGGTATTTAAACATAATTTAATGCCTTTAAAAATACATTTCTTCCTACAGAAGCTGATTATCTGTTTCGTAAAAAGTCATTGATAAAGTTTACATTATTACTTCCAGGAACGGCTTTATCTCCATAAATATTTCTCCTTTAGTATTCCAAATGATAGATTCTTGATTTTTCAAAAACTTGTACATATCTTTGGCTTTTTCTTGAAAAATAGTCAGAAATTTTTTCTTCAAAACCCTCCGTTTTATTTTTGATTTTGAAAGAGTTTTCTTCTTCAGTCTTAATTCCTGGATCTTCTACGTTTGAGACGTCCTGATGATTGGGTTCTGTAATATCCGCTTTCTTTATCAAAAAATATGTGTATTTCTGCAATGTTTGTAAATACAAAGTCGTCTTTTCAGCATCTGTTAAGTCCTTGTTCTGTAAAATATTTTTCATTCGTTGATCCAATTCCGACAAGTGTTCTTTAACTTGAACCCTGTCTTCCGGAACCAGCACCAATTTCTTACCGTGCTCCATGAATCAGGGAACTGATAATGGATATAACTGCAGGCCGTAAAATAGATACAAACCACTCTCTTTTTTGAATGAGAATTTTTTTCTTCTTATACAAGGGTGTTTCTTATGTGATAATTTCCTTAAAGTTTCTTTATATGGAGTTAAACGAGTTTTTTGTGCTTCTGTTAGCGGTATATTACCACAAATCACATTCAAAACAAACTCACACAAAGTTTTAATCTCACTCTTTGAACATTTTTTTAACAATGCTTTGGGATGTTTGGTTTTAGAGACCAATTTTATGAGCTCTAATGTGCGTGCATCACATCCGGACATCTTACTAATCAAATGATTTCTTTTTCTGTTTTGCCGATCTTTTTATAAACTCTTGGAGGAACCGTGCAAATGCTTTTGCTTTGACGAGAGCGCAATGATTAAAATCTGATGAATGTGCAGGTTAAAAGGAAACTGTTGATATAAGTTCATTAGTTTTAGATCATCAGAAATCTTCTAAATTGTAGCTCACTTCTGCCTGATAAAAATTCTAGAAACTTTCGTTTCTCGAATCCTTTCACATAAATATGTGAAAATATTTTAAACAAAAATGATGCGAAGTTTGGTGTAAGACTCCAGCTCTCCAGATATTTCTTGCAGTCTATTTGTATAGTATTTTCTGCTGCGTTGAAAGTTCTCCGAAAGGAAACGGTGGCTGGAAAGCATAGTACGGCTTTCCGGAGAACAACTCCAGACACCTGTCTCGCTTCGTGGCGGGAGCTATGGTTATGAGGGTAAGTCATTTCTAATAGGGGTGTGGAGTAAAAGTGACTAGTTATGTAATGATCTTAGCTTAGCACAAGTCGCGAATCTTTGCTTCCCTTTCCTAGTATCAGTGGCAGTCCTAGAGGAACTCGTCTTTCTTTTATTCTCTCGTTTTCTGACAGAGCAGCTTAGTTTTTAAAAGATTTTTTTTTCGCGATTATTTTAATCGTTAATTATTTAATCGTTGTTAGTTTCACGTTTGTTTTAAGTTTTTTTTTCTTTTAATCGTTGTTAATTTTATCTTGTTTGTTTCACTTTTTGCTTTCATTAATTTTTTTAAAAATATTTGTTAGTTGTTTTTATTGTTAGTTATGCCTTTCATTTTAAAGAAAGGTGAGACATTCAAGTCTGAGGCAAGGAAAATTGCCCACAATGTTTTTCTGAGCAATCTAGGGAAAAATCCCTCTAACTGCCTCTACAACAAGCTTTACGAAGAGCCTCCCTCGCAACTGGTTTGTCAGAGTATACTTCGAAAAAGATTAAAATGCATTACAATGACAGCGTGGAAATCGCAATTCCATTTCTCACTCATTGACCTTGGTAGATTTTCTTGTTACATATCAAAGATACCACTCAGCAATTTGAATTGAAGTTTCTTAACATTGGTATTCCTACTTTGCGCTGCATGAATACAAAACCTGATATTTTAAACATGTTCATATCTTCAGCTGTAATGTTACTTTTCTTTTCATTAAATTTATGAACAGAAAAAACTCTTCAAAATTCTTAGTTTCTAAGCAAAATTGAAAATTTGTTTTTAAAAGATCAAAACATTATAACTAAGAAGTTTATTAATTTTTTTCATTAGTTTTTTTTTAATGTAAGATACTACAAAAGTTAAAGTAAGAACGACTAAGTATTATATAATTTAAAATAAGAACGAAATCTTTGAAGGAAAAAGTTGCTTTTCGAATCGCATAATACATTATTCTTGTAGATATGTTTTGAAAGAGTTTTTAATTTTTTAAATTGATTAATTTAATTAATTTTTAAATTTATTTTAAATTTTGATTTCTTTCTTCTTGTTAGATATTTTTCAAAGGCTTATAGTCCTTAAAATTTCATGGATAAAAAAAATATAAGAAATAATGTTAATGAACTTTCTATGAAGTGTAAATGCTAGAAACTAATAAACGGTATTAAAAAGCTGCATGAAAATAAAATTCTTTTTCATACAAACAAAAATTATAATGTAAAAAGTTACATACCAATTTGAAATTGAAAATTGCTTTTTGCTACAACAAACGACAAACTAATAATTATATAATAATGTTAATTTGATAATAATTATATAATAATGCTAATTTGATAATAATTATATAATAATGTTAATTTAATAATAAGTATATAATAATGTTAATTTAATAATAATTATATAATTATGTTAATTTAATAATAAGTTTTGAATCATTCATAAAATTTTAGTTCTTTATTTATCTTTGGAATAGTAATAAAATCTAATAGATTTTAAACATTATTTCCGTATGGCAGACAGGAATGAAATGACATGATGTATTCAGTTTATGAAATGCTTATTCCAGTTTTATGTATGTAACAACAATTAATAAATTAATCGCATGAAAATTAAAAAAGAAAAACTACGCATAAGAAACCTAAATCAAATGCCTCTTTAATATAGCGATTAAAGAAAGATAAATATTTTTTTTTTCAGAGAAAAAAAATTATCGAAACAGAAAAATACTCTCAAAAGTTTTTTCATGAGACAAAAGAGGTTGCTTAAAAATTTTTTTTTATCCAAAATTAAAAAAAAATTATTTCTAATAAATGAATAGCAGCTGAATTCCAAATAAATTAACGCATATCGAATAAAAGTATAAATGAAAATACGGTGTCGTATAAGCCTATATTATTTTTTCTCCCTAAGAAAAAGCAAAAGATTGTCTAAATATTAATTCAAAAATTTGAAGAGGTCTCTTGAAAGCGGATAAAGCAGCCAATCTGGTAGACCAATCGACTCCTTCATTCCTCCATTACACCCCATTATAAATGTTATCTCACTCGTTACCATAGCAGCAGACAGTCCCAAACTTTTTGTCGGGAGCTTTTCTCCTCAAAGCCGCACTATATGTACTCCGGAGATGGAATAACCCTCTACGGCATGAAAAGCAAGTTTTTTAATGATATAATTTCCGTGAGGAAGTGGAAAACCTTCAAAGTCAATCACTACGGCAGACATCTTGCTATTTTAAATTTCACCGTCGAAATGAAGTTATCGAGGTTGATACATATAATAAGTATCTTCCAGTGCGCAACGATTCATTTGTATCACATTTTAAGTCAATGAATAAATATCCAAAAGTTTTTGAAGTAGCATCTGCATAGCATTCTTGAAAAAATTTTAGTTTACGAGGATACAACTGAAGGCGGACGTCTTAAATGTGTGACTTGTGATTCGTCTTTTCGATTCTTGGATAATACGAAATAATGAGCATTTAAAGAAATTTCTCTCGTTTCTTTCCCTTTATGAAAAATGTTTTGCACCTCAAAGATCCACCAAAACTTAGCGATTTATGAGGAGAATATTTTGTAAATAATTTTGTCAACTGTGAATCATTTCCCAATTCACTCATGAGATCATCAATTACAATTAGTGCATTTGAATTTTGATTTAAATCAGATGGAGGACCCTCGTGGAAAATAACATTAAGTATTTCACTATACAACTTTTGATATATTCCATAACAATATGTTTTGGGAATGGCTTTATCATGCGGTTTTCAATCACTGTATGTAATGGATCTTGCCACTACCGGTTGGTCCAACCAAGATCATCGTAAAGGGATGCTTCAACTTCAAAACGTCCATGATGAATGAAATGATATAATTTTTTCAACGCTATTTATAGTTTTTCGGCTCTAACTTATTCTATCTATTTTATCTTTTTTTTTAAATTAATATTTTTATTCCCTTTTTTAATTGTGAGCTATTCTGCGTAATGAACAATGTCCAAATGGAATGGTGCTGATTCTGTCTTCACGGACGTGTCTTTTCTGATCTTGAGAAGACAGTGCCAACTTATTGGAAGTAATCGAGTAGACTTTATGTTTTTCTGTACGTATGTGATTTTCCGAAATTCTGAGCTCTTGGTTTTCAAATAGACACTGCCTGTAATCCTCGAAATCAATTTTCCGATCTATGGCTGTCTTCTTAACTCCTTTCAGTTTCTTTGTCACCTGGGCACCGACGGTATATGCATACATCTTAGACCTCAGGCCAACGAATTCCGTCATAATCTGCCCCTTGGTCTCATCTTTCATCTTTCCAAGAACCTTCTTGTTGATTAAGGGGATGCCGTAGACATTGTTCGCAGGATAGTCTGAAGTATCGTAGAGCTCCAAGTTTTTCCTCATGTCCGCATACACATCTGGAGTGGTGATGTTATAGATGAAGCTGTCCGTATCCGTGTAGAGAAGTTTAAGACGTCCTTGATATCTTGGTAACATCTCGGAGTAGTGGAAATCATACATTAATGTTTTTGAAACATCGAGTATGACCATCCCGACGGCAATTGGCTTGTTAAAGATTAGGGTTTTCCGCCTCATATGGAACGCTACGAGATCTTCAGACAAAATGGTGCGATCCTGGAAGTTAGATCGGGCGATGAGTTTTTCCGCCTTTTGCGCATTTCCACAAAGTTTCACATCCAGTCGTCTACGTCTGATGTTCTCCATGGTTTTTCCGAACACTGCGTTGTTCATCAATTTGAAGAAGTTCTTCTCGAAATCATTGGTTGCATCTGTTCGGCGGGTGGTATTTAAATCGATGTATGGTTTTAACCATGGAGACTGTGTGAATTGGAGGATCCTGTGTATCTTGATGAGTTTAAGGCCGTGCTTGATATAAAGTTGAAGATTCCGGTAGTACAGCACGTACCTCTTCTTGTTGTCCAAGGTGGTCAGGAGCCTCTTTTCTTTACAGCCAGGTGGAATTTTTTTTTCAGGCGCGAGTGGTAGATCCGCGTGAGGATCGTGAAGGGAATCCGGATATTCTAAATCAACTTCCAGGATATATCCAACTGAGCTGTTAAGTGGCGTCTCCAAGATGTCCGTTTCAGGGTTTATCCACTTGAAATCCTTCAGTGGGAGGTACTGGGTTTGGGCCCAGCCATACAAGTTATTTGCATCTAAATACAGGAGATAATTTGTTGGTAGGTCTTTATCGTAATCCGTCCCCATATATGGATTGTTGGCTCGACTGTGTCGGTGGGAGCACTGAGAGATACCACCGCGGATACCACTCTCCACAAACAGATGCATATCATAGTCCACCAACAGCTCAAGTTTGACTTCAGTTTTCTTCAACATAGCGTCCCATGACAGTCCTGGAGCCGTGTAATACCAAGCGGGATCCAGTCCATATGTTTTCCTGCAAACATCTCTGAAATTTTCAAAGATGTCCGCAAGCAGTAAAACATCTGACTTGATGTACAAGTCAGCATATTCACCAAGATTCTTTAACTCAAAAGTATCCCATACTCGATGAGCATGCTCATAGTCTGCCTGAGTGATGCTGGCCTCATTAAGACGATTATAGAAAGCTCTCCTAGGAGGTAATGAAGTCTCAGCAAACTTATCCGGGTGGCAGATGTAATCATAAGGGTACACACCCTTTCGAAGCAGTAGAGGAACTTGAGAAGGAGAGAAGTATCTCTGAATCAGCCTGAACTGGTCTTCCGATAAGTTATTAGCGAGCTGGTCGAGGCTGCTTGACATGAATCGGAAAGAGTCCAAAAATCGAAGACTAAGTCCGTTTCCCACTTGCTTTGAGAAGGAGATGTACTTTTCCGTGTTCTCCGGGATGACGGTGATATCCCCATCATCCCCTCCCAGTTCCTTGATGAAAAGATGGCTATCATATCCGGAGAAGTTGTGAAAAAACACCGGGATGAAGTTAGGTGTACTTACCTTCAAGTTGCATGTATTGCAGGATATTCCGCGAAGTTTTCCGGTTTGATGGTCGTGGTCCATCACCTAAAAAAAAAAGAATAAACGGCTTCAGAAAAATAAATAACTAGCAGTTTCATAATTAAATAAAAGGTTTCTCATATGAGTTAAAAATTATAGTTACTTTTTCTTAGTTTTTAAATAACACGTTTTAATTCATTTATACTTTTATTGTAAATAGGGTATGAAATATTTAGAATAAGTAACCGAAACTTGAAAACTCAATTCAACAGGGAAAATCACTGAAATGTTTAAAAAAAATGTTTATGAATTGTGCATTTTTATTTAATCAACTAAACAATTCTAGTATTGATGCTATGTTATTTTTTTCAATAGATAATTTGTAAGTTAACTTATAATATTTCAAAAAGTAAATATAGCCCTTTCATGTTATGATATGTTAAAACTCAGTAAAAATGTTTTCAAACAAAGTGTATAAAAAAAGAAATACGCATTTAAAAATAATTGATTTACACAGTAAATACATATAACTCTTTGATATTAAGATATTCTAATACTACTAATAATTTTTTCTAAAAAAATTAAATTTTTCGCAAGAAATATACATTTAAAAACAAATGATTTAAATGCTAAACTTTTATCTGAATCAAATTTTGGAGGAAATGATTTTTCGTAACGAAAATTATATTAAAAATAATAATATTTAATATAATATTTTAAGAATTAATGTGAATTAAAAACACTTACCTTATAATCGTTCCTGGAGAATTTTTTTTTACAGGTATAGCAATGTGTAGCCGTATCGAATTCTCGCCGTTGTACTTGAGTCAATGGGTTCATGGGCAGAGGATTATTGTATATTTGATGAATATCTTCAGCCTCCAATTTCATTCTCTCCATAAAAACTTTCCCGGCATCAGGACCCCGGTAGATAAATGGTTCCTTATATGTTCCCATTGTCGAGGCAATGTAATAGCAGAAACTGATCGGCTCGTGCTTCTGATATGCCACCGTAAAAGAGCCTTTAGCATCAGGTGAACAGGAGTCTAGAGGTTGTGGGAGACATTCAAAGTCAGCGTAGATGACAAATGGTACCGGTTGCGTATATTTAAAATTTTTAAAGGATAGCCACTTATCCTCGGGCATCCGCACTTGCACCTGGCTGCAGCTAAGTTGATGACGACGGAGCATTGTTTCCGTTTGGAAGAACTGCAGGCAACAATCGCAGATAACATGGCTTGTCTTGTGTTTGCTATATTGTCTGGAGACGAGCCGAGACAAGTTCTTGATCCAGGCGTAGTGTGAGGATGAGGCATTGGTGAGGTACATTAGGTTAATATGACGAGATTTCTTTACCTTCGTAGATTTCTTTACCTTCGTGATGACAAGAGGATACACTTCATTATTCTCTTTCAACCCGAACACATTGATGGAAAGTCCATTCAGTTTCTCGAATTTCGGCACATCTTGTAATTTCACAGGAAACTCTATTCCTGTAAAGTCCAGAGTGGGGATGTAAGGCTCATATTTCTGGCATCGAGAAGCATGATCTGGTACGGGGTGGAGAGCAGAGAGTACAGCCCACATAAAGCACCGGTTGTCGGTGTTATGCACGTTGATGATGGCGTGCTTTTGCTCTATCACTAGTGGTAAATCAATGTAAGAAGAACCGTGAAGTGGATTGTACTTGTTTAACCATACTTCTAAATTGATGATTTCCTCAAGGGTCCATCCAGATCCTTTTGTTTCAAAATCATCTGCTTCCGCCAGAATTTCATCCACCTTTGCACTATATACTTCGTGGATATTAGTAGAAGGTGTAATGACTGTATTTTCTGTTTTGAAATTTTTCCCCTCGCTGATAATACCACTTTGAGCCACTTTTTGGTAATGACACAGAAATTTAACATTCACTTTCAGTTCATAGTCAACGAGGTGAGAAGTTACTATTCTTACAAAATTTTCTCGCTTGAGTTCTAGAAACTTCGGCATGTCTTTAATCTTGTCATTATTGGGAAGAAGAATATTTTTTACCCTCCCTTCAAAGGCAGATGTGGAATGATCGGGAACCAGAGAAGTAGCACGGGACGTTGATGGACGAGCAGGAACAACATTCGAAGCAGTGTTCTGATGTGCAGTAAGAATATCTAGACGAGGCTGCTTGGAAGCAGTGAACGGGGAAACAACAGCTTTCCGTTCATGCACACTGAAACGGTGACATTTTAAGTCATCCGTTCTGGCGAAGGTTTTAGGACATTCTGGGCACTGAAGTCGCTTATCTTCATGTATGGAACGGTGATGACGTAGCATGTTGCTTCGGGATGTGAAGCTCTCTTGGCATTCCGGGCAAGGAACTCTTCCTTCGTCCATTTCATCTTGTTTTAACATATTATCTAAAACAAGATCAATATTATTGGGAAGCAGTTAAGTCAACAAAATCACTGATAGCAAACAATTCACCGTTCATGGGTAACGAAACGCTGAACTTGTCACTCATTTTTGAAGTTAACCGTTAATTATCAACCAGAAAAAAAAGTAATTAATCAAAACTTCAACACAAACAAATAACGAAAAGTTTAACAACTGATAGCAATTAAGACTATGACAAATGGAAAATTAACGAGAAAATTTAATAAAAATCAAATAGTAAAGAATGCTCTGAGAATAAAATTCAGAATAAGTTCTCTAATCGATTGCTTTGATTTTTATACCGCATACAAGACTACAGAATACAATGTGATCATTAGTTAGATTGGTTAAAAATGATATTACATTACAAAGCAGATTCTGATTGGTTGATAATGTCATTATCGCTTTCTGATTTCTGCCTCCATAGAACCTTTTAAAAACATGATTTAACCAAACAAGATAACTGATGGTAAGACTATATACTATTTCCTGAAATAGATAAATCGTGTGGGAACAGTGTATGCGTGAGAAAACTGATTAAAAGTAGTAATGGATAGAGAGACTAATATAGGGGATCTGTCTTTATATCTATACATGGATACATCTTGATTATATATGAAAAAGATTATACAATGATCATTAGCTGATTATAAGTTATGGAGGACTTATCTTGCTTAATTCCATACAGAAACGCATGAAAATGCGTTTCTGTATGCTAGCTATCAGCTACACTCGTTAGCTGATAACTAGCAATGCAGGATTCAATCGGATTTATCTTATAAGCTATTCCGTGTGAAACAATTGATACAGCATATTATTCTTTTATTTTTGTTGTGATATGAAATGCGAGGAATTCTATTCAGTTTAAAAAATAATGTTAAATTCCTACTTATGAAAATTTCAATTAAATATCGGATTAAAAAAATTAAATTCATAATTTAAAAAAAAACACCAATATTATATACATATAAAAATTAAAATTTTTATCGAAATTTTTTTTTTAAACATATAAAATTAAAACCTTCTGTTATAGTAGAGCTGTCACATTTGATGAGTCACATCCACGGTACAAAAAAAATCATCTAAAACCCCTCTGCTATAGTTGAGCAGGTGGAATTCCCTTGAATCCGCAAAATTCGTGGCGCAGAAGCCTCTTTATCCTGCCCTCTATCCTTTATTCTCTACTCATCGTGAACCAAAACCTTGACCTTTTTGATGACATTGTCTAGATTTTTGCACATTTACTTCATCTGAACTGAAGTAAAACCTAATTTTGATAGCCATGAACATTAACGCTTTAATTTAATAACACGAAAAAAAAAATTTTTTAGCATTTTTTTTTTTAAATATAATCATAGATGCATTAATTTAAGAACATTTTTATTTCTAAAACCCTATTCACATAGGTGTTTTAGTGAAATACATGCAAACTTTAAAACTATACCTATTTTATCCCACAGTAAAAATAAACTTACTACTCGGGACCGGGTTCCCCAGTTTTTAACTTCAATATCCGGTGCCTGGACCCAACAAATTTTGCCGAGTATGCAGTGTCGGGTAACACTTATTAATGTTCAACACATCCATATTCAGATTAAATGTGAACTTAAAACTATTAAAAAACAGTTGTAGCATTGAAAATCCAAGTATTTCACCAGTTTCTGAATAATCAGGTTAAAATAACTGATTGAATCTATGGCCGCCTATTTTTGAAGCGCTTGAAACAAGTAATCTATTAATTGCTATTTACATATTTTTGAAGAGAATGAAATTTTTAAACATGTAATAAAGTATTTATACCGCATTAAAAGCTTAATATTGGAAATTTTATCTCATGTTAAATATGTAATGCATCAAAAAAGTCCTGATGCTACAATACTACTTATAATTTTTTTAGTTTTACTAGAATATTGCTCCAAGTAAGTTTGGTTTCTTTTCAATTCCTTTTTTTATTTTTTATTTTTTTTTAAAAAAAAACATGAACAAAATTTTATTGGTCAGCATTATCATTCAGCACTTCACTTTAAAACTACATTTCGAGAGGAATTGGTTAAGGCATTTCTAAAGGGTATTTATATTGATGAAGGCGGAAAAATATTTTCTTAAGCATCAAAATAAAAGCAGCCACATACCTGCCTTCGTCTAATAAAATCTGTTCAACCCTAGCAATAGTTTTACATTTGATCCAGTTCGGCTCAAAATGGGTCCCATATGAAAATGAGGGACCAATATTGGAATACCTAGACTTTCTTTTTATATTGCTCCTGTATGGGGCCTATATTGGCTGAATAATGAATATAAAATATCGGGTGAATCTGACAACTCTATATAGGACTGATATTGGTTGTAAAGTGGCTGTAAAATTTCGGGTGAATCTGACAATTCTATATAAAGCCATGCCAATATTGGAAAATAACGGCCTTTGAGCTCTACTCTAGAAGCAAAATAACTTGGGCCCTCAATGGACCAATATTCAGGAATCTTGGCTCAATAAGGATTCAACGAGCCGTTATATATTTACCGATATTGGCTCTATATAGAATTGTCCAATTCACCCGATATTTTATATTTATTGGGCTCAATATAAACTCTATATTAGCAATGTACATGCAGATATTGGACCTAAATAAGACCAATATTAAAAAATCTAGACATCCCAATATTGGTCCCTTGGTGCATGCTCATATAGGACCCATATTGAGCCAATTTTGAGCCCAACTGGGGCCAAGATAAAATTGTTGCTAGGGAAATTGAGCTAAGATTCGTGAATATTGATCCGATGAGGGCACAAGTCATTTCGATTCTAGGGAAGTTTTGTAACATAATAAAAAATAAATATTGTAAAAGCTTGATAACAAAATTGAAAAAAAAAATAACAAAGAAAAACCAATTCTCACCTTAATTGTTTTCTCACTACCACAATAAATATTGTAGAGAACTATAACTTCCGGCTTGACAATAATGAAGTACACGCCAAGATCAAGGAGTTTTCAAACTAAAACAAAATTAGAATAACTGCATGTAGTAAATGCCACTACATACCAAATAGTTAAACTCTATATATTCTATAGAAATAAGAAACATTGGCATGCATTTGAGTTATTTACTATCACTTTCTGGCAATTTTACGTTATTTTAATATTTCATGTTATGGTGCTCTTGCTTTACATGCTAAAGCAATAAATTATTAGCATTGCAATAAAAAATACATTCTGTGCACATTAGCATGACCCTCATTATAACCACCCTTCCATTATAACGACCGATGTGTAAAATCTAGTGTTAATTCAACGCACATTAAATGAGAAACATCTTAAATTTCCTTTAAATCAAGGAAGTCAAACCTAGATTCATATTTTAGTTCGCCGTAGTCATAGATTTAGGGGGAGTGAAATGTAGATCAGTGGTTCCCATATGGTGTTCCGAGAAAGGTTACAGGGGTTTCGAGAGAATTTTTTTTTCCCAACTAGTGATGTTTTTCGAAACCGGTAATTAAATTTATATCCAATTAATTATCCGTTTCTTATTTAATATTTCTATGATTTTTATGAAATGCTTGTGAAGAAAGAAATTCTAAAAGAATATTTTTTCTAACAACAATATAATAAATGAATTATGAAAAGGAGATTCATGTATGAAAATTTCCATTATAGTATTCCACATCTATAAAAATACCCAAAATCAACACATAAGAAGTATGTTTTTCTAATAACCATTATCTTCGTTATTATTTTTTTCCTTTTTCGTTTTGATTTTAATATAAACCGTACTTCAGCTCATTCATTTTTAGTTTGTGCATGCATTAACATTTGAACCAAAAAATTGTAGTAGTAGGTTGAGTAGTAGTAAATTGAGTAGGTTGTGCAGCGCATATTCTACGTAATACTATTCAAACAGCATCTAACTTACTTCCAGTTGATGTTGAAAATATTATTGCAAAAATTTTTTTTCTATATATACTGTGCGAGTTGAAAGTTTGAAGGTGTAAAAGTTTGAATTTTTGTGAAAGCGCAGAAATCGAATATAAAAGAATTCTTGGTTACAGCAAAACACGATGGCTAGCTCTTTTACCAGCTGTAGAAAATATTTTTAAAATATACGAACCTTTAAATCATACTTTTTATTACAAGATAAATGTCCAAGAATATTGCTGCTCTTTTTTGAAAATGACACATCACAAATTTGGCCTCAGTTCATGCACAACCAAGCTACATTATTTCACAATGCTGTGAAAATGATTGAAAGGGACAAAATTTCAATTGCGGAAGTGTCAAATGAAATCAATAATTTAAATACTAAATTACGATAAAGAATTGATAACGATTACATTCATTTAATTATTCGAAAAGACATCACTAGGTTGGAAGAACAAGGTGCCATTTAAATGACCTGATTTTCTGAAACATGTCAAAAATTTTTATAACTGATTGGAATATCTTGAAGAATGGACAGTTCAATTCGAAGATATTAAAAATTTTCATTGGGTGACATTAAAAAAAGAGATTTTATGGGAATATGTGGAAAAATCTTTTGAATATATTAGTAACCATTTTCCGAAAAATAATATTTGCGAAAATGATCTTTTTGATGAGGTGCCATTGGTAAAAAGATATGTTACAGATGAAAAAAATTAAATGTTGGTTGTCTGCAAATGTGGAAACAGACGAAAAATGGACGGAGTTATTTCTTCATTTTAAACAAAATAATCTTCCTTATCAAAATATTTTGAAAATTGTAGAATTCACGCTCTCCCTTCCAGGAACAAATGTAGCAACAGAACGTGCTTTTCCTAGTATCAATAAAATATGGACAACTGAAAAAACGCAGTTGAACGTTAAAATCTTTATTAAGTGTAAAATATAATTTGACCATTTCATGACATTTTAATAAATGATCCGAATCTAATGCAAAGTATTCACTCGGATCAAAAATATGACCGTGAAAGAAAATCATAATTTTTTAAAAATAAAACATTTAATTTGATTAAAAATCACGATGTTCAAATTATTATTTTTACAAATATTTTTATAGTTACCAATAATTAATAATAAATAAAATTTTGTTCAAGTATATGAATGCATACAATAAAATATATATAACTAAATTGTAATTCTCATTTCACCCCATTTGTCTCGGTTTGTCTCAATGAAAATGTGGTCACTTAAGAATAGTGTAATAGTCTATTTTATAGGCGTATCATATATTGCTTAATAAATAAAGTATTTCTCTTCATTAATTAATGAAGAGACATTCAAATATCATTTCTCTTCATTAATAAATTTATCTTAAGGTTTTAGAATTCATTTGCTATAAAATGGATTTGTATAAATTCTATTCATAAATAAAATTAATCATGTCTGCATTTAGATTAAATCAATAAATTATTGATGAAATATGCAAAAACGCTTTACTAAACTAATGTTTATATACTATATAAATCGGAAAGTGTAGAGGAATGCTTAAATAATTTACACTTCAAAAGCATCATCAAAACATTTTCTTGCATTTATAGTTTGCAAATAAACTACAAAACTTTTGCCAGGAACAATACACTTTAAAACAAAATAGCTTTATTAAGATAAGAGGTGATATTTAAAATTACGCCACGACCTACAACTCGTGGCGTCAAAACGGCAGTGGCGTAGCGAGGGGGGAGCAAGGGGGGCATCATGCCCCGGGTGCTGCACACAAAGGGGTGCCAAATGGTCAGCAAAACAAAAAAATTTGTTGGATAATTTTTATTTTTATTATAATTTATTTCTGGAAAATATATTTTAAATTTAGTGCCGGTGAAATATAATAAATGTTAATTCGTAGATAAAAAGGAACACTAATCAAACTGTAATAATATATTCATAATAGAAATGACACGTTTTTTCCACTGGGCTGACTCGACCTGTGTCTGTCAGCACTTCCTCATGGCATCTACGCTGTGTGGTTACATATATTATCTCCAAATATTTGCAGTGCACAAAGTACAAACATCAGTGTACAAAGTGTTTGTATGTTTGTGCAGTGTACAAAGTACAAACATTCTTTCTTTCAGAACACTATTTATTTTTGTTTCTATAAACGCAATGTAGCTTGCGCTTGTTATTTTAAAACGATAACAATAGCACTCTAATGTACTTATATGTACAGTCACGGAAAAAGTATCCTGAAAATAACAACTAAAAGATCGTCTATTTTTTAATGTAGATACTTCTCAGACACACAACAAATACAGCGTTTTGCTGTTTCTAGGAAAGGACACAAACGCCGTATTTGTTGTGTACCTGAGAATTATCTGTTTCAAAAAATAAATTATTCTTTATTTGTTTCTTTCCGGATACTTTTTTTCGTGACTGTACTTATCCGTGACACTTGCGACAGGTTGTGGAATTCCGCTACAAGTTAGGTAAATACCCGAAATACTAACGTTTAAGTTATTTTGTGCCTGTATTTTTCAGTTTTGCGTCCTTGTCATCGTGCTCTGCTTAGAATAAAAATTAAATGTTATTAAATGTTAAAAGTTTAATGTTAGCATAAATTATAGTGTATATTTCACTGTGTTGCTACCTTTCAAGTTCAAGGCATTCTTGGTTAGTAATAAAACAAATAAGATTACTTACTACATCTACTCGACGATTCTTTTATTCAGTGAATAGGGTAAGAAAAAATTTGAAATGATAAACTTTGATGATATTATTGATAAATTTGCTTCATCAAAAGCGGAAAATTTATACATAGTAATTAGTTTTATTAATGTATTATAATCATATTATTAAATATATGTATCTCCTTAGAGATAATAAATATTTACTTTTTTATTGTTTTAAAACTGCGTGTTTTTAAAATATTTCTTTATAAATATGTAAAATAAATAATAGGTATCTTTTGAACTAATTCTAGATGATCATATCCAGGGTGGCCACTCAAATCAGATTTCAAATTTCCCTGATTTTTCCAGGTTTTCCAGATAAAAATCTTAAAATTTCCAGGTTTTTGTTTCGTTTTTTTCATAAAGAGTAGGCAATTGGGCCAGATTTTTTATTTAATTTTTAATGTTTTGGTACAAAATTTTGAATCAAGAATCATTAATGCAACAATTGTAAAGATTTGTCGACAAACATTAGCGATTGTAAAAAAAAATGTGACTGGTTGGTTTGCTGAGAAAAATTAATTCATAGATTTCTTTGAATGGGAGCAGAAAAACTTTCAGAAAAAGAGTGCATTATAAAATCTATTAAACATCGGAACAAACTTGAGCCATAAATGGATTCAGCCCAGGACAGAATTTAAAAACAGAAGGTAATATCCTAATCCCTTTTTCCACCTCCACCAGAATCTTTCCTTAATTGCACAGTCCCATAGCGGTCAAAGGTTTCTACATTCGTTTAGCAACCGTTGGAGAATTTTATGTGGCATTCTAGTTTAACAGAGCTGTAATGGAGCAAATTTTGATGAAAGTAAAGTATCGCTAAGTTGATGATATTTCAACTGTTTGGCGATACATTTCCGTTTAAAAAAAGTGGATATAATGGATGAAATAATTTAAATTAAGAGAATTAGTAAATAATTTAAATTAGTGAAATTTAAAAAAAATATCAAAGAAAAAATTTCCAGCTTTTCTTTAAAATTCCCTGATTTTTCCAGGTTTTTATCCAAATTTCCCTGATATTTCCAGGTTTTTTCCAGTATAAAAAAATTCCCTGATAATTCCAGGTTTTCCAGGTGGGTGGCCACCCTGATATACATTTCAAAATCTAGTCTTATTTTCTCAACTACATTTTTTGTCTCAGATTTAATGCCTAGCTTGAGCCTATGACTTTATTTATTTTACTTTATTTATTTATTACTTTGTGAGTATATTTTACTTATAATATTAGATGGTTTTCGAATGGGGGGGGGGCGCTAAAAAGGTATTGTGCCCCGGGAGCGAGATCAGCTCGCTACGGCACTGCAAAACGGGGTTAGGATTTCTTCTGCTGGAGGTGTTGACTGGACTGAGTCTCCC